CGGGTGTGTCCCAGGCTACCCCTCCTCCTTCGGTAGCCTCTCCGGTACAGCCTCCCTCCCCACAGTCCTCCTCGCAGCGTGCCGCAGGTGCTAGCTCTCGAGAGGTTGGTGCTGCGCCTGTTCCTGTACCGGTTTCTGGTTCTGGGGGTTGTGGAGTTGGAGCTGGAGTTGGAGCTGGAGTTGGAGCTGGAGTTGGAGCTGGAGTTGGAGCTGGAGTTTCTGGTTCTGGAGTTGGAGCTGACCCGGTGGGTGCAGAGGACCCTTGTCGTCCGGGAGCTGGTGCTGGTCGCGCGGACACTGGGGGTGAGAGTGCGCCTCCTTCGGGTTCTGGTGAGCCTGGGTCTGGAGCTGGTGTTAGTGCTGCCTCTGGGGGTGGTGCGCCTGGTTCTTCGGGGGTGGACTCTGGAGCTACCGCTGCTTCGGACACTACTCCGCCCCCCCACCCCTACCCGACTAGGCACCAGGCTCGTGTTCGCCGTGCCCGTGACAAGCAGCTGGCGTTGGAGAGAGAGGAGAGGGAGTTACAGCGGCTGGAGGAGCAGCAGCAGCAGCTGGAGCCGCAGGAGCAGCAGCAGCAGCAGCAGCAGCAGCAGCTGGACCCGTAGGAGCAGCAGTCCCAGCAGCAGCCGGTTCCGCAGCAGCAGCAGACGCAGCAGCAGCAGCCACTTCCTCCTCCTGTCTCGGGTCTTCGGACCCTTGGTCTCCCCTCCCCTTCTTCGCCCTCCTCCGCCTCTCCTCCTGTCTACGGTCCCACGTTTCCTCCTCCTGACTCCTCCCCCGCTGTTTTCCCCAGTTGTCCGCCTTTGTCCTCTCCTCCTCCGTCTCGTTCTTGGGCTACTCGTCGCTCCCCTCGTGCTCGTCCCTCGTCTCCTGTTCCCGTCACTGACCTTCGTACTGCCTTCCTTCTTTCTAGTCCACCTCGTCCGTCTCAGTCTGTGCTTCCGTCTCCTCCTGAGTCGGCCCTCACTGTGTCGCTCCCTACTCCTGTCACTGACTACTACCGCGCGTACCGTCCTGTTCTCTCTCGTGTTCTCGCCTCTCTTGTTACTCACCCTCGTGCCTCTTTGTCCTCTGTGTCCGCTCTTACTGCCGCAGTTACTGACTTTGCCTCTACCCGCCGCCTTGACTACGCCACCACGCTTGTGGCTGCTCCTCCTACCAGTCCTCTGGCCGTCGGGGGTGTGTCTGCCCTTGGCTGTGACGCCCTAGAGGACAGGCAGTTTGAGCTAGAGTTCCTGGCGGCCGCTTCCCCTCATCTCTGTGCCATGCTCCTCGCCCCTGAGGGTGACCCCGACGCCCTTGACATTCCGACTCCTCGCACTTACGCCGAGGCAGTGTCAGGGCCTTGGGCCTCTCAGTGGAGAGCTGCCATGGACGCAGAGATGGCCTCCTACAGATCCACAGGCACCTACGTCGATGAGGTTCCCCCCCCTGGGGCGAACGTAGTTGACGGCATGTGGATCTACAGGGTGAAGCGGCCACCGGGATCTCCCCCGGTCTTCAAGGCGCGCTACGTGGCTAGAGGTTTCAGTCAGCGCGAGGGAGTTGACTTCTTTCAGACCTTCGCACCTACCCCGAAGATGACCACTCTTCGGGTGTTACTACACGTAGCAGCACAGAGAGACTACGAGTTACACTCTCTCGACTTCTCCACTGCTTTCCTTCAGGGCAGCCTACACGAGGAGGTCTGGTTGCGTCGTCCCTCGGCCTTCACTGGCACCTTCCCTCCTGGGACCCAGTGGAGGCTGAGGCGACCTGTTTACGGTCTTCGCCAGGCCCCTCGTGAGTGGCACGACACTCTGCGTTCTACCCTCTCTGACCTTGGGTTCCAGCCGTCTTCTGCCGACCCGTCGCTGTTCGTTCGTCGTGGCTCCACACCGTTCTTTGTTCTGGTTTACGTCGACGACCTCGTTTTCGCCACTCCGGACAGGGTTGCTTTGGCAGACGTGAAGTCCAAACTGCAGAAGAGACACACGTGCACTGATCTTGGTGAGCTGCGCCACTACCTTGGCCTGCAGATCACCAGGGACAGAGCCGCTCGCACCATTACACTCTCATAGTCACACATGGTGCAGCAGATCCTTCAGCGGTTCGGGCTTCAGCACTCCACCGTACAGCGCACACCTCTCGCTGTTGACCACAGACTCACTGGTCCCTTTCCTGACGAGCCGTTTGAGCCTAGTGGTCCCTACGCAGAGCTTGTGGGTTGCCTAATGTACCTGATGACTTGTACTCGCCCGGACCTCGCCTTCCCTCTCAGCATCCTTGCGCGCTTTGTTGCACCAGGGAGACACCGTCCTGTTCACTGGACGGCAGCTGTGAGGGTGGCGAAGTACCTAGCGACTACATCAGGCGTGGGGCTAGTTCTTGGAGGGCAGCAGTCTGTCGTACTCACTGGTCACTGTGACTCCTCTTAGGCTGACGACGCTGAGACTCACAGGTCTACTCAGGGGTACTGTTTCAGTCTGGGTTCTGGAGCTGTTTCCTGGCGTTCCACGCGCTCCTCTTCTGTCTCGACCTCTACAGCTGAGGCTGAGATTTACGCTGGTGCCATGGCGGCACAGGAGTTGCGTTGGTTGACCTTCTTGCTCGCCGACCTTGGTGAGCGGCCGAGCTCTGCACCGACCTTGTTCACTGACAACAAGGCGTCGATCCTCCTCTGTCGTGAGCCGCGACTGGAGAGCAGAGTGAAGCACATTCACGTCAAGTACTTTCTTCTGCGAGAGTTGCAGAGACGTGGACAGGCTCGCTTCGAGTTTGTGGAGTCCGAGGCCAACACTGCAGACATCTTCACCAAGGCGCTTCCGCCTCGTGACCACCAGAGGTGTTGTGTGCAGTTAGGCCTTGTTGACACAGGTTCTAGTCATGTGTAGGCTTGAGTTTATTGCCTGCTTCGTCTGTACTCTTGCTATATATACTTGTGATCTCTTGGACTGGCCTTGTGGCCACTGTTGCTTGTGCTCAGAGAGTGTGGTGACGTTGTGATCCACCCTGAGCTTTGTTTTCTTTTGGACTGGTCTTGTGACCGTACTCTTTTTTTTTATTTTGCTAGACACCCCTCACTTAGGCTATGGGGGTGTGTCAAATGTTGTAGCCTGTAGTGAGGTTTGTCTTAGGGGGTACAGAAGTTAGGGTTTGTTATATGTACCCCAACCAACATCAATGGCATCATCATTCCTCATTCTGACAGATGCTTACCACTGACCGTGTGTGATGCGGCAGAAGAATCCGTGCTATATGTACAGTGAGGCATTTGATTTTGATCGGACTTGCAACTGATTGTTTGTGTTGATCAATTGCTATTGGAATTCCACGCTAGGCAGGGAGTTTTGGTCTGAACAGAGTGGTTGAGTCCAACCTTCAACCAACTTAGCTACTCGAGTTTATTCAAGGCACCACAGTCGCCAAACTGGCCAACCTTGCTAGGATTGGGTGGTCAATAGATTATATGCCTCCTAGCATTGTATGTTTCCGTTGCCCTCTTTCCATAGTTAATTTTAACTCATATTTCCCTTGAAATGTTAACGGTTTCTGTATATCAGGAGTTATCCCCTGTGTTGTGAAGGTCCATCGCCCCACCTTCCCAGAATTTCCCAATCTTCCCCTCTCCCCTCCTCCCCTCCGTTCCCCTCCTCTCCCCCAACACAGCACACGTTCCTCGTCCGCCACGGCTTGTATCTTCTTGCCAAGCCGACGTTCCATGCGTAACTCGACTGTCTTGAGTTACGACATTTTCACTACTGCCGCCTTGAGTGGCAAGGTCAGGTAGAAACGTTGTCGAAACGGTGTTACTTATTTATCAAACGTTTGGAGTTCCTCTTCTCCAGCATTGCTCGTCGCTACGAGCCATAAACTCCAACGCAATCAAGCTCGTGTATAAATGGTTCGAGAGGATAGAGGACCCGCCTTTTGCCAGTCCAGCCTTTGTCAATCGACCCTTCGCCAATCCACCCTTCATCAGGACAGCCGTTGCCTCTCAACGGAGGCACCGCGATGGAGCATGGGATGTCGCCACTGCACCATCTCCTTGACAACAGCCCTTCGCCGCAGCATCGTCTGCTCGGCAATAGTTCTATAGACAGAATTCCCACATTCGAGCAGCTCGCACGCAGACAGGACGAGTCAGACGACAGATTCGCCCGACGAATCTCCGAGGATGCTTCCAGCGTGTCGACGGACGCCCACGATGCCCACGTTGAAACTCCCTGGACGGTGTGGTCAGCGGAGTCAGAGGTTTCTGTTCCCGCTGCTCTCGCGACGTTCCAAAATCCCGCGCATCCTGCTTCGTATTACCCGCAGCCTAGCCAGGGGACCGACGTTGCTGCCGCATCTGCCGCCGCTGCTTCCGCTCATGGAGCTCCTGAAGCCGCGGGTTCGCTGCTCACCCAACTTCCCCCGCAGTTATTGGAGGCGCTGAACTACATATCCGACCCGCAACCCGGCGAGACGGAAATTTGCGTGCTCTCGCTACACCTCGCCGGTGCGAAGGATATGAAACTCATGGCTCGCGACGCCGCGGTATGCAGTTCCATGGTTGAGATGGGAGCAGCGAAAAATCTGGTGTTGATTATAAACGGCGTGATAGGAGCGGAGGAAGTTAAGGATTTGATGGATTTCCGGTATCAAGTTGCTGAGGAGGCAGCTGCCGCGCTGCTGAATCCGTCTCTAGATAAGACCGCCAAGCACATGATAGGAGCCATGGCGTCATCCCTTGCATTGTGAGATTGGCTGGCGTCACACGCAGCAGCCCAGCCAGCCATGATGACGGAGACGCCAGGGGTAGTCACGACCAGGGCTAATTTTTTGTTTTCAGCAACCCTTGTGATAAGTGTTGCACAAGCCCAAAAACCTGATTATCAGTGTGACACCTTGTTCAAACCCTGATCCATCAGGGTATTCCTAGTTTTGTGTTCTTTTGTGTTGACTCATTACTGTACTTTTGAGTAATAGACTAGTTTAGAAAGGTGACGGGGAGACAGCCAAAGTCATTGGCAAGCTGATCACTCCGGAAGCTGTTGTAGTGCATTAAGGCACTGCTGACCGTGCGAAGCAACACTATCAGCAATTTGGCTAACCAAAGTCAGATGATTGCCCAACATGTCTTCCAGGCGCACTGCTGTCCCCTTCATCTCCTCCATCGCTTGAAGCTCGGCCTGGCTCTGCTGTTTGAGTTGTATGTCGCAATCCTGCTCGTAGAAGGACAAAGCTTTGTCACGTAACTCTCAACCGATGCAAGCAGAAACCATGAGAGAAGAAACGCACCTCGTTCTTCTGCCTCAGAGTTTCCAGAGATGCTGCCCGGTTCTCAATCTCCACACGTGCCAGAAATTCTCGCCTTTTGCTGTCTTCTAAGCGTGCCTGTACTTCCTGCTGAGCGCACTGAGATACCTGCAACATCTCTTCCTCTTCCTGCACAACAATGCACACATATCACCCTCCAAAATAGGCCCGTGCCCACTTTGATTACAAAATCCATCTTCAGCTCATGAAGTGCCGGAACAAGGCCCCCTACATAGCATACCCGTTTTTTCACATCCTCCTTGCTTTCCAGCTCGGCAGAGATCTTACCAACCTCCTCCGACTCCTCAGCAAGCTGGATGTCCAGTGTTGCCAGCTCCGCATACAGTCTCTGTTCTTTCGAAGAGTACTTCTGCGTCACTTCTTGAATAGCTGCACGGATATCTGCCTTGGGCATGCTGTCAGATAACACATCTCGAATATTTGTTGCATGCGGATTAACTCGTACAGAGAAGCAACGGCCCTGAGCATGCTTGCTGCTGGGAGGGATAAGCTTGAGCCTGCACAACATTTCTTAAAGCGTTAGACAGAATGAAGTTGCAGAAAAACATTACACTGACACTATCACCAACCTGGTCGCCATCTCATTAAACATGTTTGCTGCTTGCTCGATCTCCTCCACGGTCTTGACCTTTTGAACCTCCGCTTTGCACGCCTCCTTTTCAACTTGCATCCGATTTTCCTTCATGGCCTGTAACACGGTATTCCTGCCAGCTAACCTCTCTGCCATGCGTTCTAAGTCCTCTCTCGAAAATCGCTGTTCCTCAATCCGCTTCTGAAGCAGTGCGTTGTTAGCCTGTATGCTGATTGTGGTCTCCGTGTGATCCTTCAGCTCTTGCTGTTTAACCAGCAAGGTTTCCTCAATTGTCTGGAACAATTCAGAGTGTTAGTGTCGGCTTAGCCTTAGCAAAAGACAGAAACTTACTGTGACCCACTTGTAAGTCTATCTTCCCTTGTTCAGTCGCTTTGACCAACTCGCCCTGCAGCTTTTCGAGCGTTGCTTTGTCCTCCAATAGCTTTTCGAGTTCAGACCTATCCTGTTTGCGCTTCAAGGTGGCCTGTGGCACAGAAACAAAACGTTGTCAACTTATCCTTGCTCAGAAACAAATCCATCGGTACCCACTTACCTCCTTCCTCAGAAGCACCTCTTGAAGTTTTTGCACGTCGCTTTCCACCTCCTGCCGAGCTCCCTCAAAATAAGCCATAAACTGTTGCATTATGTGCTCGATTCTTGTGTCAGAAAGCTCCTCGGTTTCGGCGTTCATAAAAACGTGGTAACCCTCCTTCATGAACTCAAAGAACACAGCCCTGCAATGCTCTTCATCAAGCAACGTCTCCAAAGTCGGGTTTGTTAGACTACTCTCAAAGCCTCGAGCTGTCGATGACGCAGGTTGTGCTGGCATAGCTCCGGGATCGGACGTAGCATCAATGAAGTTAAGCGTCTGAACAAGCCAGTTCAGCATAGCCAGCAAGGGTGGCCACGTGTGGGGAGTTCCAGCCTGCTGCAGAGAGCTTCGAGAAAGGTTGTACGGATAGTGCAGCCCCTTCATGACTTCCAAAATGTCATCTTCCGGCTTGTTTCCGTACTTGAACTTCGGATCCATCTGCTTCATCACGAACTCGAAGATCTTAATGAAGAGCTTACCTGACGGAAGCTGAAGCATACTAGGATTCAGTGAGTTATCAAAACCACGGTCCTCCAGAAATGCATAAATTGTCTGAATGCAATCTGCTTGGTAATTTTTGTCTTTCAGCGGACGAGGGTCCTCTCCAGGCTTCTTTACTGAGCTAATTCTGCTGTGAGATTGGGGATCGATTGTAGACCCTCCCTTGGCGAGGAGAGAGACGCGGCTGGGCTGGATAGCAGAACCAACTGCCGAAAAACGTCTAGATGAACTAGGAGCGGCGACAGGAGTCTCAAATCTTGAACCAGACGATGAGGGGCGTGACTTGGAAAAAGTCACAGTCTTTGGCGTGGCTTCAAAATCATTGCCTTGCTTTGGTAACGGAGTGCACGGAATTCGGCTGATTGACGGAGGTGGTGGAACTTTGAACATCCCAGCACTACCGACGCTTCGATCCCGTTTTTTCAGCCTTGAATCCATAAGGGACTAAATACAGGCGACGGAAAAGAAATGGCTGCGACGGAGATAGCTAGGCAAGAAGCTCGAGCTATTAGGTACTGTGGAGCAAATGGGGTGA